TGCCCAGCCCCGTTCTTACCGAAATTACCGAAATCCTCGACACGGCGTCGCCCCGTGTGCATGCCCATGAGGTCTCTGCCGGTCGAGCCGAAGGAGGCTTCCGCCTTGTCGCTCGCCCTTGGGCGAAGTGAACTCGTGCAACCTTGATCTTTCCGAGATGAAAGCAGAATTGTAAGTGAGTCTCTGCCGGTCGAGCCGAAGGAGGCTTCCGCCTTGTCGCTCGCCCTTGGGCGAAGTGAACTCGTGCAACCTTGATCTTTCCGAGATGAAAGCAGAATTGTAAGTGAAAAAAGACGGAGAACGTGTGAAATCTGTGGATCTAAAATTGGGCACAAGTACAAGGAGCCTGACTGGTTCTTCTCCACGTTCTGACAGCTTTTTGGTGGCTGCCAGCCTCGTGATTTACAGTGGCAAGGTGGAACTCCCTGTGTCTTCTGACAGACCCGGCTTCTGCTTGTGGGATGTTGCTGCTGGGGAGCGGTTCCTCCTTCAGTTTGTCTTGGCTTTGTGTGAGCGTGTTCGGAACGCAGTGCGGCCAGTGTTGTCACTTAACTCTGACGTTGTCTCTTTTCCCTCCCTCTCTGCCTGCCTGCTGCTTTCATTCTGTAGTATTGGTATTTGCCATTCATTTCACCTTCTGCATCTATGCATCTCATGGTAGGTGAGAGGCTTTTAATCCCAGTTAGACTCTCTGTAATGTTTCTGAATGCTAAAACTGAAAGCAGAAATAAATGATGCTGGTTCCTTTGTTCCTGAAAACACTTCCTTCAGGTTCTGTGAAAAGCTGAAGCCTATTGTAGCTTTTTGTTTTGCAGCCGTTAATGACCGTGTAATCACTGGTCCGGCTTAAAGCTCTCGAGAAGATGTGCTTTGCCAGAGCTGCATCAGGTTGAGGGCAGGCGATGGTGGTGTCTGGGAGAGGACACCTCTTCCCTTGGTGGTTCCCACAAATCTGGCAACTGTGCAATAAGCCCGAGTCACTTTGATCCTTGGCAGGCACAGAAAGCGGACGTGCCCAACACGGCTCTGCGGAGCTGACCTGAAATCGTCCTTGCGGTTCCTCTTCTGGGCCTGAGGAGCTGAGTTCAGTGTGCGAAGCAAATGATGCACCTAGGTGACTTCCAAGGGACCAGATGAGTCTTTTTCTTGGTAGCAGATTGTAATAAATCTGTGAAGGGACGAGCTCTTTTTGTCCTGTTGAAAGGACCAGAAGTGGAGCCTGAGGAGCGTTGCCCGTTCGCAGGGCGAGTATGAAGCGCAGGTAGCAGACGGCAGCTTCCACCTTTAGGTCAGTGGCTGAAATACGCTGCGGGCCCTGGCAGCTGCACGTTCAGCTGTCCAGGAGGTGGTCGGTAGCACAGCAGATGAGCTGGAGGTGTCATTCAGTTATCTGGGGATGTGCTCATTAACGCAGAGATGCTAACTGGCAGCTGACGAGAGTTGCTAAGAATGGCGACAGAGCATGAGCAGCCTCCTGGCTTGCCTCTTCAGGTCGGACTGGGGACGTGTTAGTGGGATGTGCTGTGTGCCAGGAGGAAGGGAGAGACAGAGAGTGCTCAGTCGTTCCTAGTCAGGGAGGATTTCCCTTTCCACGGAGGCTGAAGTTGCCTTGCCAAAATATGGACTGGGATCTCTCCTTCTGAAGCAGCGAATCCCTCTGAGGCAGCAGGTTTCTGTTCCCCTCTCCGGGCAGCGGAAGCAGCGCTGGACACGGACGCAGCAGCGCTCGGTCGGTTTTCCCTTGGGCTTGTGCTGAATGCCTTTTGCCTCTGTCTAGAACTCGGAGCTCTTCACGCTGACGTACGGCGCTCTGGTCACCCAGCTCTGCAAGGACTACGAGAACGACGAGGATGTCAACAAGCAGCTTGACAAAATGTGAGTGCGTCTGCTGCGTGGAGCCTTGCAGGAGCTCACGTTCGCTGTACGGCCTCTCTGCGTGCTGCTCTGTGAACAAAGCCCGGCTGACTGATTTTTATTTAATATAGATGCGTCCCAGATTAATCTTTTTTTCCTTCACTATCTTTTTTTATAAATGTTGGCTGCCTTTCTAAAGCTGTGCCCTTCACGCTCAGCAGCTGTTGCTCTTTGGTACGTTCACAGGGGTTACAACATTGGCGTTCGGCTCATAGAAGACTTCCTGGCCCGGTCCAACGTCGGAAGATGCCACGATTTCCGTGAAACTGCAGATGTTATTGCAAAGGTAATCGTCAAAGCACAGCTTTGTCAGGTTTTGTGGGGGGGGATAGAGTGTATGCTGCTCACAGGACTGTTCTGAGAGTTTGACTGAGATTTTGGGGAGCAAAAAGAGAGAATTAGATCCCTAACTACTGCTGGCTGGTGGGAACTGGGAGAAAGGCGTGGTGTTTTCAAAACCCCTTAGCAATTTTACAAAGATCAAAGCTGTCCTGTTGCTTCACGAGACCCCTTCTTGTTCGTACTCTGTTTGACATAACAGATAGCATTTAAAATGTACCTGGGTATCACTCCGAGCATCACCAATTGGAGTCCTGGAGGCGACGAGTTCTCCCTGATCTTGGAAAATAACCCCTTGGTGGACTTTGTTGAGCTCCCTGACAACCACTCGTCCCTCATCTATTCCAACCTCTTGTGCGGAGTGCTGCGCGGTGCCCTGGAAATGGTGAGCCGACATCTCCCTGCCCGTGAGACAGATGTACGAATGTCGGGAGACACTTCAGTGTCCAGCCTGCCTTCGTGACTTCTGTGTTTGCTTTGGACTTGAAATTCATTCCCAGGAGAAGAGCAGAGCTGCAGGAGTGCTCGGCTGCCGTTGCGTGCGGCAGCTGTGAGTCCCAGAGGTGCTCCCCCAGCCCCTTCATCTTATGACCCGAGTACAAGCACTGGTCTCCCCTTGAATTTTTACGAAGCTTCGAAATCCTCATGTTGTAACTGCCCTGAGCCCTAGCTGGGAATTGGCTTGGCAGGGGGAGCAGCTGCCTCTCAACTTTAGGAGTCTGTATTTAGGCCCGATTACCTCTCTTAGCTGAGGTTTGTGAGGAACGTGCCTGGAGCAGCAGGCCGTGCCGCCCTGCGTGGCCGGGTTAATGCGGCTCCGAGCTCAGCAGGGAGTCGCGAGCGGGAGGTCCTTCTGCAGAGGTGAGGTGCCCGCTGTCCCCCACGTAGGCACAGCGTGCGAGGAGGATGTGGGAGTGCTGCCCTGCAGGTCAGCATTGCTTGTCGTGCCCTCAGAGTCCGTACGCTGGTGCTTCACGATCAGACGGTTCCTAGAGAAGCCGCGGTTGCAAGGGCGATAACTGCTCTTCTTTCTCCTCTTCCGTCACCTAGGTTCAGATGGCCGTAGATGTGAAATTTGTCCAGGACACACTGAAGGGTGACAGCGTCACTGAGATAAGAATGAAGTTCATCAGGCGGATTGAGGACAATCTTCCAGCTGGTGAAGAGTGAACCGCAGCCCGGTGTCCCCTGGGGCTGGAGGGGACCGGCTGCGTTTGGCCGTTAGCTGTCATCGCCGATCTGTAGGGATCCAGTGCCCCCATACATTCGGACTGACTCACTAAGAGGTTGTTATATTCTTATACTGTTGCTTCCATCTTCTGTAGAAGACGATTGTCTGGTTGCTGTTTATTCTGCAGGTTCATCCTGAAGCTTTTTCATAAGGTGATGTCTTTTTCGTATTCCCCTGGGGACTCTTTCTGCCCTCCGTTTCCAATTGTGACGTCTGGTTGTGCGAGAGCTACTGCTCGGATGCCAGAAGAGCTCCAGTCTGCTCAGCTCTGCGTCTGTGTCTTGGTACCGGAATTGGAGACCGAGCTGCCAGAGCGCACCCATTCCCTGTTAAATGCTGTCCTTGAAAAGAGGCGTTTAAAATTCGTTCGGAGATAAGCGCGTAGTATTTCTGTAGGCCAGACTGGCTCCCTGCATTTGATTCTGAAGTCCCTAGTAAAACGCAAGCTTCCTGCGAAGGGGCAGAGCTGTCTGCCTGCGGGCACCGGGTCGGGAGGCTCCTGCTGTCGGAGGGCGGTGGCACCACGCGGCGGGTTCGGGGGCTCCCTGCGTCCTGCTCAGGTTCCCCTCCGCAGCAGCCTCACGACCCCCCCTTGGAAGGGAGGGCCCTTAAACTTTTTTTAGTCTTAAATATTTGAAGCGGAGGAAAGCGTGGCTGAAATGCTGTCGGTGTTCTGCAGGGTGTGCAGCCCGGGGGCCGCAGGGCAACTCCACGGAACAAAAACCAAAACTCTGACTGACGACTGGGGGGGATTAAACGCGTTTCAGCAAGTGAAGGCTGTTCTGCTCCGGCGCGTAAACACCGTGCAGCGTGGAGGTGTGCCGGGGTGCGTTCTCACAGATGTTTAGGCTAGAACAGAACTTCCCGTGTTACTTGAATTGGCAAACGGTCCGTGGCACCGGCTGTTCTGTAAAATAAACACAGAAAGCAGCGTATCTCAGAAAGCCAGATATTGGAAAATCAACTTCCTCTGCCATCCTGTTCAGCTGGAAAATGCAGCCAGACGTCCGGTTCTCGAATCGCTTTACCTAGCATGAAGGCACAGATCCACAGAGGTATTTGGGACGTGTTACTTGAATTGGCAAACGGTCCGTGGCACCGGCTGTTCTGTAAAATAAACACAGAAAGCAGCGTATCTCAGAAAGCCAGATATTGGAAAATCAACTTCCTCTGCCATCCTGTTCAGCTGGAAAATGCAGCCAGACGTCCGGTTCTCGAATCGCTTTACCTAGCATGAAGGCACAGATCCACAGAGGTATTTGGGAGCTTAAAGTCGACAGCTCTTCCTCACTTGGCAGGAGCTGGCGGCTCCCGTACCGCCGTGGGGTTGTGCCTGGGGGTAAGG